CACGTAATGGACACTCGTAGAACACATCACTGGGATAAATGTGTTTTTTCCAAATGGCTGAGACCTTGAGAGGTCTAGGTTTATCCCCGCAAGATTTTATTCAAAATAAGATTCAATTTACGGAATACGGAATGTAAAATTAATAGAAAAAGAAATATTATCACGCCTCTGACGATCTTGTTGTCATAAAACGTATTATATTTGCTTTCAGAAAGGACTTATTTTAGGTCCTATATTAATACTTTTGATTATAGTGCCAGTTTCAGCCTTCTCATTAATTTTCACAAGATCATGCAGATGAAATTTGCACTCACCTAAGCAAAACGATCAGAAAGAATCAGAGGAATATGCTTCTGCCTGCCTTGATATGTAACAATTGCTTAGAATACGTTTTTGTAATATTTTTTGTTCTTCATCTACTTTTTAAATTTTAGAACATCCTCCTTTGGTCGTTGAACATCCGGTTAGAAACATCTAAAGATTACTAGCGAAAGACGTTGTTTTGGTGAAGACAACCAATTTATGCTGTCTGTCTGGATATCAGTTGGGAAAGTTAGGTGGGCAAATATTTTTTTCTGAAACCGGTAAGTAATAATTCTCCGACAGAATTCATTCAAGCAAGTATCCCATTAGATGTATCAGGCAATTTGTAGTGGTTTACAAATTTTATTTAAGTAAGTATAAATTAAATTAATGTGAAATTTTAATATTAATAGCCGCATTTGCCACAGTTGATGCACACATATACATATTTAGGTACGTCAGAAAATAATGTACTGATGTTGTGTTTGGAATAGCAACACCATCATTACTGGTAATAACGAAAATAGGATTCCAATAATTACAAATTTCGTATTAGTTGAGAAAAAGGTCCGAATATGAGCTATAGAATCATAATATGCCATTTAGTTATGAATCTGTGAAATATTATATACAGATGTTCTAAACTTGCCACAGAAAGAATACAAAATCAAACACATTGTGTGAACCTTAGCTAAAAATTGTTGTGTTTTTTTTTCAGTTGTCCCATTTTTAGTAGGCAAACATTTTGTATGGGCTCTCTGACCAAACAAAATAATGTTGAATATATGATTGTTGCTACTGGGGGAAAATTGCGGATTAACTCTCCGCTACGTCTTAACAATCAATTGGTGCGTCTGGGAAAAAGAATTAAAAAATTCCTTCTCACATTTTGGTGGAGTTATAACACATTCACCATCACAATAACTAGTAATAAAACTTTTAGTTTAATACATATTTCCCTGGTTCATGAGCATGTTTAATTACCATTTCAGTTAGAATGTACAAAGATATGATTGTGTTGTTTTTGTAATAATTTGATAAAATTCCATTTGACAACAATGTTTACCTGATATAAACCGAAGGTATGTACAAATCAGTAAGAATCGAATAAGCAGTTAAAAATGTTTGACGTATAAAAAATTGTCAAAGTTTTCAAAGCCCTACGTTTAAAATGTTCGCAGTTAATTTTAGATCCCTTGGTGTTCTATTTTCGGACAAATTTAAAGGAATCTGGTGTTTTGTTGCTGGATGAAACTGAAAAAAACTTTTGAGCTTTGAGTGTTTTATTTTTTATGAATATGAAAACGTCTTGACTGCCGCAGTTCTATTTTTGGAAAATTCTGAGCTGACCTGTTTTTCCCTCGATTTTGGGACCCTGTTTTATTTTTGAAAAATTTAAAACGATCTTGAAGTTCTAAGTATTTCTGTTTGGAAAGAATTTGAAAGTGCTTTGGGGCCTCTAGTGTTTTCCTTATAATAATTTAATTAAATTCCTTAGGATACGTCATTTAAGTCATATCTCATTTGCCAAAATCAGTCTTATTTTAGTAGGTACTAGCCCTGCCCACCAGCTACCCTCTCTTTTTTCAGAGGGTATGTAATTTCCAAAAGTCAGTGTTATCTTAACAGGTACTAGCCCCGCCCACCCGCCCTCTCTTTTCTTAGAGGATATGTCATTTGCTAAAATTAGTTTTATTATTTAAAATTATTTTTGATGTTGGCGCATTTTGTCTTGCTCTACATTTTTTCTGCGATAATTTTGGAACGTCCTGTATACGCACAGTTTAAGATGTTACTGAAGGAAACGTTGTAAAAAGTCTTACCAAGTATGCCGGTAAGTGTTAAAGTGCTACACTACACATTTGTATAGGCAGTTGTGAAAAGTACAGTTGAGAAAAAAAGATGGGAACACTGAAGTCTGCAAAAATCTGCTGTCCCTCGATCTACGTTGCAGCATTTTGATAAAAGAATTCAGCTTAAGATGAATTTACGAATACGGTTACCTAAACCGTAGTAGTCACACTCTTTCAGTGGTAATCCTTATTAAAAGCAACGTCATCCAAATGACGAATTTGACTATTTTAAAAATTACCACTTCTCAAAGTCATCGAATAAAAAATCTAAATTTTCGGTATTGATACCAATTGGTCCAACTGTAATTTTACAAAGTTTCAATTTGTTCATAGTAGGTAATATTGATGATTAAGTTGCAGCCGAAAATATAAATGGTAGCCGATATTCAACAACAGTCATGGTGTTAGGCACTTATGGAATTTCCACCCAGTTTGACCTATAATTATTTTGTAAGTAGGTTCGATAACCCAAGATAGTTAAGTTGTTAGTTCGTTTTACCTCTGAATTTCTCGAATGTAAAGAAGTCCACCAGACTTACAAAACACTTTCGATTTTTGTAGGACACAAAGATACGTCAATGCGGTATTTAAGTTTTGACGCAAGATAACATAGGTTCTTATAAAAGACGAAATCAAGCTTATACTGTTTACTTCACCAACATCTACCGAGAGAATAGTAAAGAACAAAATCAAAAACAGCCATAGATTTTTGAAAGTTTGTCTTTGATTGTTACACTTTCTCCAATTGATAGTAATCTGACGAAACGACAATTCTATTAAAGACAAATCTTTAAAAATCAATGGCTGTCACTGCTCACTGTTACTCTCTCTGTATAAAAAATATGAAGTGCCTTATTTTATTTGTCCTTTTATATTAACATTGCACTTTTGATTTCAAGATCGTCAACAGACATTTTTTTTTCTTCTTTACCAGGACAGGGTTTTGTTACATCAATTATTAATTAATTAGTTAATTAAATCAAGACTGACCTAAGAAAACTGGACAACTTGATACCTAAAATGTATGTGCTATATAGTAGTTTTTAATTTTTTTTTATTTAAATCCAAAATAGATTCAGTTCTTTTTAAACATGAACAAATCACAGCAAATATTGATAGCTTTGGTGTTTCTGCTTTTCCAGATGTTCCACTTTCCTTCTATCGCTACTGGTATAACAACGTGAAGAAAATAAAGACATCACATAAAAATTTCCTTGTCAACATAGACAAAATTGAAAACAATTCAACCACTCTTATTTGATTTCTAAATAACACCGATAAAATATTATGCAACATGTGGAAATAGTATTTTTTCTGGACTAGATTATAAACTGGCTTTAAACTTAAAGCGATTAAACTTGACATTGCCTTCTATCGATAAATACCTATATATTATTAGAAACAACTGCCTTTTTCGTTTTCTTCTTGCTTCCGTTTTTGTCTAAAGTCAAATCTCGGTAACATGAGTTAAAAAATTATTTTTGCTTTACCTACAGGTGAGAATTTTTCGAAAGTGTGTCAGGAACTTTTTCAAGAAAGTTCATAAATTATTTCTCTCTATTTTGGAAAAATAAATAAAATGACCTATACTTAAGTAATAGGTAGTCTTTTTATATGTTGTAACAGTTTTCAATAAAGAAAATTTGCCAGTGTTAACATAGCACATCCTATGAAATTTTTCTGTTTTAATGACAATGAATGGTTATCCATTAGCGTTATAATACCTAAATAAATTCACATAAACATTAACGCAAACTTCAGGACTTTTTTCTAAATAATTCTTAGGAACAAGTTTAATATAAGTACCTATTGTATCTTCATTCATATTACGATTGTCACATCTTTGTGTTCTTTTCGAAAAGCCATTTTTCGTTATATGAATTATTCGTTGCTTAATTTTAGTAAGAAGTATTTTTGTTAATACCTATAACAGTAAAAGAAAGCACTACTGCCGAATGCAAATAAAACAAATTGTGATGAAGACACACAAATAAAAAAAAGAGAAGCCTTACTTTGTCCTCCAGACGGGTTATCATGTTTTTAAAACAGTTTTAAAAAAGGTCTTCAAAATTTATTACTCTGATTTGTTAAACTGTTTTGTCCTCAAGTTGATAGATATTCTGCTATAAAAAGTCTTTACCTGCATCAGATCTCTGTTGGGCTATGATCTAATAAACTTGTCTGTTTTTATTTTAAAAAATATCTGCTATGTATAGTAAACATCAACATATTGTCCCGGATTTGTTCGGGGGGTAAAAATTCCCAGTTTTTTGATTAATAATAATGACATAGTAGTACCATACTATGGTCTGAACACAATCTCAGCTCAACAGGTACATTGACAGCCGAAGCTTTTTCACTAGTACTGAAAATCCGCTAATAGTTATCTATTTAATTGGATATTTCAAAGCTCAGTACTATACAATACGCGATTCTTATGAAATTTCCTCTCTACTACCCCTAGATTTATTCTCGGGTACTCGACCTTAAAAGAAACAATGAAACTCATCAAGTAATTGTAACTAAAATTGCCATCATGAAGAGGCGTCTATGGTATAAGATATCAGCCTATATTTAATATTTTATTTAGAAGGAAGAGATGAAAAAACCAAAGCAACACCAAATTTACTTACTGAAAGGATCAACCCCACCCAGCGCAAACAATAAGCTGGGAAAAAACGTAGGGCACGCCCATTTTATCTCGTTAAACCAATCGGAACGTGCCTCTGGCCGCCATCTTGAATAGAAGATCAGGACAACGGATGCAGCGCCCCGACGGTAAAAAGTGAAACTAAATACACAGCTTTCATGTGTATTATAAGAATACACGCATTTCGTCGTGTCTCGCTTAAAAAATCACGTAAATCAATAGGATAATCGATTAAAACATTGTATTCTCGTAAATCATGTGCATTATTGTCTAGTCTGCACCAGCCGTTGAGGAAACGTTTCTTTTTGTGAACCTTATTCAAATATTCACGCGCTTCATTAATTTTAATTAGAGTAGTGAAGACCGTTGTGTAATCTCTACGGGCTTTTGAACTTACAAGATATTAGTGACTGTTTTATCGTCCTTGCGTTGTGAACAGTGGTTTTGTTTCTACTTGAAGCAACAAATGATCGTGTTATGATAAATCTGGTACGTATTTTTTTATGTATTTTTGCAAATTGGATTAAAATTTAAATGAGAAGAGACATATATCTGGAAATATTTATCTCGTAGTTGGTTAAATGTTTATTTGATAAAATAAGTGCATGGGTGTTACGGTCTGGTAATTATTCCACTTTGATGTAAAAAACTGCCGTTTTTTTTTGTTTATTTAAGTGTAAGTCAATGATACCGATAATTTCAGAGTTTTTGTGATAACACGTCCACGTTTGATTCATAAGCTTACATAATTTTGTTTTATTCTTCTTTTGTAAGGCACAACACTGGCTTGTTAGCTACGGGAGCAGATGAATTAATAAAAATGACCAAGCAAAATTTCGGGCAATCATTTTAAAATAAACAGTCGCTTTGTATGGTAGTAAGCTAATTTAATAAAGAGTGATTTGTTTGTGGTTTCTGACAAGTACGAGTCAAAAAAGTTCAAATTGTTAAAAAATATAGTTATAACATTTTTTGTTGCCAAAATTTTTTGGATAAATATTATTAGGTATATGGAAATGTGTGCATGTACGCATTGTACGCAATATATTTATTTATCCTGAAAATATTTTATAAAAAACTGTATTGAATTTTGAACAAAGTGCTTTGTACAGCGGATTTTTTTAGAATTGGATACCAAGTATTTCTAAAGTTAGGATCTAGTGGTGTTATTTTTGCAGTCTGCATGTGATTAATTTAATACCCCTTTTATGGGCAGTGGTGTTATACCCAAGCGTCGCTTAAAATTAGCCTACATAAATTAAAAGGTCTTTTATTTCCTGGTAACCAAAATTATGCCTGGCGGGTGCCACAATCAGAAAACAAAAATTGGAACTACATATAAAAAGTGAAATACAGCGACACCAAACATAAAGGTAGAATCTAAATTAAGACAATAATTTAAAATTTACCTACTTTTAACGAAAATTTATCTGAAGCGTCATAACGATGTAACAGGTAACTATATGTTTATCAATAAATAAATCGGTAATATTTTTTCCAAGTAGGTAAATTAATTTTTTTCCTAATATTAGTCTCGATGATTTTCTAGTTTGTATTTATTTTTCCACGTTAAATATCTTTGCGAGATTCTTGCGCAGACGCAGATGTAGTTTAAGGATATCGTCATATTATATCAGATTGTTATTCCTCTATATCCTATATTAAAAAATATATATATATATATATATATATACAAGGTGTTTTCTAGTAGGTATCTAAAAATAAATAAGAAGCAATTTGAACATGACCAACAGAAATAATAAAATGATTAATTAAATATCAAAATGCCACCTGTCTATTTCTACACAATATGTAATTTGTTAAAGACACACACACTGAACCATTTCATCATTTGCGAATATGTGATTACACAAATCTTCAGTGTGACCTAATTTGTTCCATCAAAGTGGACGTTAGATTTCAAAACCTAATTAAGATAATTTAAGATAACCTGGAGGTTATGATGAGTGAATAATTTAGTTTTCAAAATTAAATAACAATTTTAAAATTCTTTAAATTTGTCTGTCTGTCAATCAAAATATTTCTTTTTTATGTGTCAAAATTGACAATTTAAAAAACAGTCCGCAAATACCTAAGCCTCGATAAGTTTTGTAGAGTTTATAGAACTGATATGATATGATTTTTTTAGTAATAAATAAAGTATAAAACAGAAAAACCAAATAGGTATTATAAAAATTGCATGCGGTTAACTACACATGTACCCAAAATCGAATAAAAATTACACACACTTTTTGCTTTTAGAATAGGTATCATATTCATGTTCGCCGGTTCGTGTGAATGGTGTAATAGCTAATGGTTATGTAAATAAGAAGATTTATGGAAAAAATGCACACTATTTGTTACACTGAATAAAAAGAACATTATGAAATGAATTATTAGAAAAAAAAGTGTGGTGGAACTTTGAAATTATTCTAAAAAAATCTGTCGAACGAATATCGACAATTATTTTTTTAAATTTGTTTGTGACCCTATATTTTGATAACAAGAAATCACGAAATGAAATGTAACCATTATTTGATTATGGAATATACATGCTACATCTGTGTTCAGTTTGATCTGGAATATCTTCCAAACAATTTTGTTGCCAGTTTGTATAAGCTAACCAGGACAAGAACTAACAAAATTAAATTCCCGCGAAGTTTTAAAATATCACAGTGACGAATTTTCAAAATATTGTAAAGTATTTAACAAGTTCTATAATCGTTAGAAAAACATTAAATGAATTTGGAATTTTGTTAAAAGAAAATAGGACAGTGTTGCCTATAAAGTTTTCTTATACCTGAAAGATCAGGCATCTCTTCGGATTGAGTTTACAAGACGAAAACAATTTATATTTATTATCAAAAATGCCAAGGAATCAAAAATTGCAAAATCTATAGAAGCATAAACATGTGTTTAAAAACCGGCAGAAATTAAATTTTTATAATACATTAATATCTGGAAAAAATATTTCTTTTAAAAAATCTGTATTATTTAAATATTATTTAGGTGAAATACTTGTTTCGAACCAAACTAAATTTTTGATTACTTTGAGTTTTTTCTGGAAAATAAATAAAAAATCCTCTTGTAAATACAGTCCGACGATATACTCTATATGTATTAACTTATCTTTTTATCAAAATAATTAAACATCTCTATCTTCTAATAATTACCATTTTCTGAATGGATGCAACATACTTTTCGTAAAAATTTTCTAGAATAATAGTTGTATAAATAATGATATATAATATTTCTTATTAGATAGATTGTGTGTTCAGTAAGTCATTAATCATTATAAACACTTTTTTTAAAGTAACATAAGATTTTAAATTTTCACACAAAAAATGGATGGTACAATTAAGTTTTTCGGCACTCGTAATGAAACTCTAACATAAATAAAACGTTATACGAAAGCTGTGACTATGACAAGAATATTTAGTTTTTAATTTACAGATTTTCCAACTGATAATTTTGAATTTTTCAAAATACCATCTACTTTAAGATAGCCAGAACAAGTTAAAATCACAATCTGTTTATTCGTCTCTCCCCATCAGAAATGAAGAGTTTATTTCTCAAAATTTGTCGTCTGTCATAGAGATTAAACAACAGGCTGCCTGAAAATTCTAGTGAAATTTGATTTTGATTTATAGACTGTAGAACATTATGTCGTAATAATTTATTTAGTTATTTTCTCCAGATAGTTGAGGTATTATTCTGCATAAGCTGTTAGATCTATATTTCTTTTATCTAAGATTATGAAAAAAAATCGGTGCTTTTTCAACAGATTTTCGTTAAAAAAGTAGGCGGTTATTGAACTGTGCAATAAAAATTTTAATGTTCAACAATATTTACTTAGTTGTCAATGAATGCAATGGTACAATTTTCAACTACAGTTTCGCTATATTGGAAGACTTTCAGCCCCCATGTTTTTTCAGCTACAAAATATCTGTCCCGGCATCGGCAAGCAGACGATCTTCGGAAACTGTGTCCAGGATATTCTTTTAGGTCGGGCAATCTGAGATATTCTGCAATATCACACGGAATTTTCTGAAAAGTATTAATGCCCAGTATGAATTCGTCTAAAAATTTATGTTTGTCTTCTTTGGTGAAGACTTTTATTTTCTTACACTGGCACCCTACAGATTGCTTCTTCATGAATACTGTTGATTTGACGAAATTTTTTAAATCCACGTCCATTTTTGTAGTTAATAAATGATAGTTTTACTTTTTAGATCTTTCAGAAAAATAGGCGAGGAGCAAAAATAAGATGCTAAGTTTTCGTACGGAATTTTTAAAAACTATCGAAATTGTATCTATTACATACCTGTTTGGAAAAATGCGATTGGACTGAGATTGATGGCTTTGGTTTAAAATAAATTTCTTAATTATGTATTTTAAATATTTTGGGGTATTAGATCTAATAATAGGTGTGTATAGGGTATTCATTTATATCATGTACAAGTAAATGCAGACAGATTTTATCCGCGAACGAAAGGTTTAGTATATGAGATGTTCAACAACGTGATTAATTTGCACCAGAGGAAATCTATTTGATTCAGATGTGCTTCACAATTTTTTCCAATAACCACAGATAATTTTTTTAAATTCAAATTATGAAAAATTTATGTTTATAAAAATGAATTACGTGGTTAGCGATATCAATTGGTCAGATGCTTATGACAATAATAATAACTGTAAGAGTTAATTTGATAAAATTAAGTCATGGATATGAAGTATTCTAGTTTAATTGTAGATTTTTTTTAATATGGTGTCGTATTTCCTTGTCGTTTAAGATTAATTTGCTACTTATCACAAACACAATCAACGGTACTACGTACTGGTACTACACAAAATGCTGGAAGAAACGTAGATCTGTTGTGCAAGATATTAATTTCAAAAGATGCAATAAATAATGCACCTTCTAACAGAAGATGAAATATGACACACCTAATACACTAAAATTTATAACTTACGATTACTGAAAGAGAAGTGTTTGGATGAATCATTGCATACCTTGACGAAACACTCAAACAGTATAACAAAAGGTGCATAATATTTAGGTTTTTACGATGCAAAAATACAGCTGTTTTAATTCACAAATTTTATTTAGTATTTCTTAATAGTAGTAATGTTGGTTGAATAACAACTGACAAATCGTATCGTTGAACTGTTAAAGTATTAAGAGTTGTTTATTAAGTGCATACAATTTTCACAAATTACTGATGTCTGAAGTCTTGAAAATAAATACTAAATGCAGTTGTAAAGAGTGGGAAGTTGTTCGAAGGAGTAACTTTACCTATATTTTATTGGTTACAAAACTCTGACAATGGTAGCATGTGTGACTTACAACCTTTAGATCGTTTAAAATATAGCAGAGCAGAACAATTCGTTCATGGTCAAAGGTCAGTAAGACGAAGAATAACCGGTATATTTAATTAAATAAAAATTACTTGCACTAAATTTTAAATTAAGCTAAAATATTCGTAATC